ACAGCTCAGAGAAATGTAGCTTCAAACTTCAACTCTTTGTCGGGCTTTTCGCAGTACAAAAAAGTTATGTGTTGTTGCTTTAATATGAATAAGTGGTATAGTTTTAGAGCTAATTAGGTTTGTTAAGGCAGTCGTGTATGAATCATGAGGGTTTGTGAAATACTAGCAATGAGTATACTAGTCTAACCATCAATAATTCAGAATTTACACATTTTAATTGCTATTAAATTATGAGTTATGTTAGATATTTATTCATATTACTTTAAACTTTAACATGTCAAGATCAGACAGACCCACTATCGGCAAATCAGCTTCCAAACCTTCATTACAACTTATATATTTTTAATCAATTTGGTATTTAACTGGTAAATGAGATGTAAATTTTGACACAGTTGTACGTATTCATCCAATTTTGTCATATAAAGTGGACTGTTTAGTGTCTTTTTAACCGTTATTGATTGTAGACTCGTTAGTAAAGCCAGTGTCCAGAGCAGGAACATTGAAACTTTCTCCTCTCTTTCAAGTGCAAAAGGTTATAGTGTGCGGTTACACGGGGATCAGGCGGCCCCTCCCTCCCAGAGCAGAGTCGCATGCAACACACGCAAACTGCTCCTCGCCACAGCGCCTTAAATGAGCCACACATTTAGTGGTCTGTGTGAGTAAATCTCTCATTAAGTAACACATGCTAGAGCCATATGCTACGGTTGGTGGGTCTGCCGCAGCTCGGCTTTTTCACACGCCTCCAATATACATATTTACCACTGCTGCAGAGTTCCAGCGCGAGATGACTTCACCCGGCCGGCAGCACAGTTTTTACAGTTGCATCGGAGCCCGGGCTTGGACCAACGCGTGATTACAGAGGGGCTGGCTGTTCGGAATATGGCTGCTTTGGGATTTGCAGCCCCGGGGAATGCCAAACAGGTTGTTCCGGGAGGATAGAAAGTGTGATAATGTACGCGGCGTCGCTCCTGCACCTGGCCTGGCCCTACTGTTAACGCAGATGACATAGGAGTGATAAGGAAGAGTGTGTGAGTGTGTGAGGCTCTTTAGCAGATGTCAGTGCAAATGGCCACGTGGTTATGTATTATTTATATGGAGCACAGCGAGCCAAAAGGCCTGACCTAAAATATGTGCTAGTGACAAGGCTCACGCTTCCACAGATGAAAATATACAGGGCGTAACATGACAAATGACAGGTGAACGCTTTTTTATTTTATTAAAGATAACCGGATATAATATTTGGGTCAAAAGAGAGGTGGATTATGTATGAACTGTCCCATAAAATCAGTCAAGCTGGAGGCACTTGTAGCTTTGCTGTAGTTTTTTGAGGTCTCTCTTCATCCTTACACTTCTATACTTCTCCTGATTTCATTTTAGCTTTTGTTTTGTCCTAGATCTCCATGGAGACAAGTACGCGGTGCCACCAGGTCAAGTTGCAGGGTCAGATCTGTGGAGAGGCGACCGCACTCACAGTAAAATTACATGTTTGTGTGTCAGTGTATGTGTAGGCAATAAAAACATCTGTAATTAGTAAATACTAAATAATTAATAATAATAATTAGTAAATACTACAACCAAAATATCGTGATATTGTATCGTCAAAAGTCTCACAATAATATCGTGGACTGTCATAATATATCGAATCACAAGTTCCTTTGCTTAAGTGCATGGTTTTGTAGTAGCAACAGCTTATGAACATCGGAAACTACATATCCTATGATTCATTTCAGTGCAGACAACATGGAGATATATGTTTTTTACTTGAATTCTTGGGATTATGACAGAAATAATTCACACCAAAATCTTGTCAAGGTGTTTTAAAAGCAAAAGTGTCAAATCTACAATTATATTAGTCTCTCCGAAATAACGCAATAAATATCATGCTGTGAGATTTGAATATCGTTACATCCCTAGTAAATACAAAAAGTTTAATGCTATACTGTGGAACATTCATAGCACTTCCACTGAGATAAACAGATATTGGACAGCTACCAGAAATTTTACATGAGTCTCGTTTTTACTGGTTCGTTTTGGAGCAGATTGGTACGGACTGCAAGTCTAAAGTGAACCGTACCACCCCCGTCCTTATAATTACATGTATCCAATTTTGATTATATTTTTTAAGAAAACATTCGCAATATTTTGGTGACATCAGTGTCTCTCAAAGCTGTGCCCTGCCTTGGAGTCGAAGCCGTGCCCGAAGCGTGGAAGCACAACTGGGCTGGACGGAGCTACACCAAACGGCCCTGTTCCAAGGCAGCCCCAAGTGACCCATGCCAGTGGAAAAGAGGCTATAGTGCACCTTTAATGTGTCCCACTGCGCACGCACACATTAGTTCCTACCCACTCGCCTTCAGTACACACCATACGCATTGCCTTGTGTTTAACTGGTTGCATTTATTGAGCTTCAGCTAATCTTATCTAAAGCAGAGTATGATAAGATGTGTATGATTAGAAAATAATTACATTTACTGGTCACAATACAATTCCCAAATTTATAAATGCTGTAGAAACAGTTTCCAAATATAAAAATGAAGATGAGGACGTGAGCTGTCTCTTGTCCTCTCGAAACGTACTTGAACTCACTGTCCCTGGAACCCAATCCACCTTCGTTGACGCTCCTCCCCTCTGCATTGCTTCACACTATGGGCCCTGTGCGCTGGCTAACTGTATGGCCGTGCTGCTACATTACACCCACAATGGTAGAGTTCTGCCTGTCCTCCCCAGATACAATGGAGCACCCCAGATTCTTGCTCAGACTTGGCAAAATGCTCAAATCGGGAAAACAAAGCATGTATAGCCTAGAAAACCAGCTCCTACCTCCTAAGCAGTAGAATCCTGCCCTATTTATTTAGTCAAATTGTTTTCCGTGCCATTAGGACTACAAATTCAAGATAGTACTGCACTCAGCTAATAAACTAAGTTGTTCTAAACTCAAAAACTGTTAATAGATACATATGTAGTCTATATATAGTGTCTCTGGCTGTCGCTGTAACTCATTTGAAAGTGTGATACATTGAAAAGACACAGTGAACGATAAAACTTAAACTTATTTATATAACTGTGACAATGCTTAAAAGCAGGATTATCCCCAAAAACTATTTCTAAATGAACTATATTGTACAAAAAGAACATTAGTTGCAATAAATGTAACACTTTCTAGTCTGACTATTAATAGCTCAAACATAATCATGCTATAAAAACTAAATTTACTAAAAGTTTCCCACTAAAAGAAAATACGATAAAATCAATCAATGTTCCTCAATGGATCAATGTTTAGTGAATGAATTGTAAGACAACTTTGTATACTTAAAATATCACATTTTAAGTTATTTTTGCAATTATCTTACCACTGTACTGTTTATTTATTATGGTTTTAAAACATGCCCATTGCTCTAATTCCACACATTCGTTTTTCTCACAGCTTGTTTCTCTTAATTTTTACAGTGTATACAGTAATAGTGTATATCGTCATTATAATTTTCATTCCCGGGAGGCGGAATTGCAAAGACGGCCTTTTTTCTTAAACGTTGGTGTGGAAATAATGATTGTAATGGTTTGCAGCTGAGTAGAGGGAGCTGTGAATGACATTATGATTGTCCCGCAATTACCGAACGCATAAAAACACACTGTCAGTCAACGTAATGAGGAAAGACTCAAATAACACATAGAAAAACAACACATGGGATAATCATCATGGTAATATAGAAAATAACAATAATAATAATGATGAATGCGTACCCTGTATGAATCTGAAACTACATAGCACTCAGGCATCCCAGGACCTCTGGTGGGCTCTTCGTTCAACAGAAAGGGTTCGGTGGCCTGTAATGTAACACAGCAGTCATTTTGGCATTAGTGAAACACAGTCATAATATTTAGTCATGTTCACATGTCAAATTAATGCTTTTCTTAGCGGTTGATTTCAAATTATTACCATTGTCATCAGGTCTCACCAACTACCATCCCAGTGAATCACACGTATACATAAAGTTACACCGTAGTCTTTTATTTGTAATGTGAAACTTATTTATAGCAATTTGGGGAAATCTGTAATAGTGGGTTTTTGCTGTTCTGATTGAGGAAAGTTTATTTTTTAATCTATGGTTACAGGATTGTCTTATGTGGGCAATAGCTTCTGTACTGACTGTAATACTATAATGCAATTTGTTAATGCAATCTCAAACAAAAATACATCAACTGATATGTGGAAATATACAAAAACGTTCTTGATATTCAACACTATTTATTTTACAAACGTGAAAACATCCCTGCGAAATCTTTGCCTCTCAACCTGTCACCCCCCGAGCCAAGCGATCCATATAGATGCACTCTCTCTCCAGGCATGTCTTGATAATTACTATAGAGACTTATACTTCAAATGATGATGGAACAATAATTTTTTGGGGGTCAGTGTTCACTGTGGAACTTTTCACCATATTTCTGTACTACAAAGAGAGTTGAGCTGTAGAGGGTTGAATAACTTGACTATGTTGCATTATAGATACAAACTATGTGTTTTATTTTGCTATTCATTTATTTATTTATATTTTTTTACAATATTGTACATTTAGAATTTAGGATCTTTAGAGGGATAATTCTTCTTTTGTGTTATTTTATATTAAAAGTGCATTGCGCAATATTTCTGGTGGAGTGTCTGTCACCTACTTGTCTCCATGGAGATGTTATTGATTTACCTGGAATATTCCATGGTAAGACATGAAACACAGCTCTCTAGAATTTATTCATTACAAGTGTTTCTGCCTCTCCACTAGGGGTGTGCAAAAATATTGAAATATTAGTATATCGTATCGTTTAAGGTGATGATACTGTAATGGTATTGTGGGCTGTTGCATCGATATATCTCCAGGAGTATTTTTTGGTATACTTTACTAAATTATTTTGTTACAGCACTACAGTTTTGTTGCTTGTTTGGAGGAAGGAAACTTTTTTATGCGACACATTTGACATATTCACTATTTTAATGATTAAAATGGGTGTGTTTGATACTAATTTTACACAAGAAGTGGTTTAACAAAGACTTTCAGTATCACAGCCATGAGTTAGGCTTTATTTTTTATTGAACCGTATCGAATCGATTTGAAATATATCGTATCGAATCATATCAAATTGTATCAAATCGAAATATGTATCATATCACGGCCTATGTACCGAGGTATGTATGGCTATTGGCAACATATTAATGATACCCAGCCCTACTATCCACAGACCTGACCTGTAATGTAGCCTGTAGTTGTCTCCCTTGAGATAGATAGGTCCGATCTCTACCGTGGAACATTCTAGGCAAAGCGATAACATCTCTATGAAAAGAAGCAGAAAAGTTACACAGTGCACCTTTAAGCTTTATAATCTCTATTTCCTTCGACAAAATGTGTAATCATAACTGGCCTATCTCTCTCCCTTTTCTCCCTGTTTGTTCATTTTTGTTTGTCTTCATGCATTATCCTCATGTGCCTCTTCTCCTCCTGCAGCAAAACTATCATTTCCAAAGTTGTTCTAGTTGATATACATTTCACCAGACTTATTTTTGTGCATCTGTTAAGTCTCATCTGGACGAAAACAGTATTGCCATTACCGTATTGGAAATGTCAGTACTGCGTATTGTCCAAATTTCATAAATGAGAAAATAAGATTGCTCTATCCCGTTCTGCACTCACACGTGGTTCCAGAGTGGCCTTGCTGAGCCCATATGTTCCTGAGGTCTGAAGCGAGCGGTGCCTCTCTCCGTGCTGTACCAGTCACACACACACACACAATAGTAGGGCACACAGGCATTTCCTGTCCCTGCTGTGTCACCTGCGTCGCGCTGTTCTGACCATCATCCTGACTCAGCACTGAACATTCAAAATCACATGCCAGGACATACTTATATTTACAGCCATTGTTTTCATCCAGTTAAAATTTTTCTATAGAGTTTTAACGTGGCTGGCTGATCCCAATTTTTGTCAATGAAGTTTAGTAAAATTATTGATACATTGTAAGTAGGGATGTAACAATAACCAAAATATCATGATATCGTATCCTCAAAATTCTCACAATAATATCATGGACCATCACAATATCGAATTACAAGTCTCTTTGCTTAAATTAAGAGTTATGCTGCAGCAATATCCTAAAAAAACTGAGGAAACTACCATGATCCTTTGCTCCTGTTTCAGTGTAGACTACAAGAAGAAATAACAGTTCTAAGCACTTTTAAGTCATACTTCTTAGGACTAAGTCTTGTTAAGGCATTTTAAGAGGAAAAAGCAACATATTAGCCTCCACAAAATATCGCAATAAATATCGTACTGTGAGATGTGTATCGTGAAATTATCGTACAGAGAGATTTGGATATTGTTACATCCCTAAACGTAAGCCTCCCCAACATATCGTGAGTTTTCCCACAATATTGCAATAAGTATCATACTGTGAGGTTCATATCATGACAATATCATATCGTGACACTTGAATATCGTTACAATGTGGCATCTGTGTGTTGTCTATATGTGTTTATAAAGCATTTTATCGTCCATGAACCAGGAAGTTGTGGAAAGCCTTTATCAACATAATCACGAATAATAATTAGGATGCTAGGAATGTATTTAAAAAGTGCAGAATAACTTTAGACCATTGCAAACTGTGGACACAATAAACTAGCTCAGTTTTCACATTTTTAAGATAGTAAAAATATTTGGTGCAAAGAAACCGATCCAACACTGTCTGTTTGTGGAATGTCAAAATGCTAATAAATACTAACCCTAACACAAAAACTGACACACAGACACGCGGTCACACACAGACTAAATTGCGTTTGGATAAAATAAATGAATTCATAAAACGTACGCAAACCTGTCACTCTAAATATAGCTATCATGGAGACCGTATGTCTGTTTGAAGGCCTCAGCGATATCCCGTGCATGTGAATGTAGTAGTAGACACAGACTTGCTCTTGGCTGCTCTGCCTGACACACCACTTACTATTTATTCAGACTGTTTCTATTCAGCCCTGTTCATTTGTATGCTGCAGGACATGCCGACGCAGACATGGCCACTGAATGAGCATCCATTGCGGTTCTGTTGTCAATTGAGTCCAGTCCAGACAACATGGATGGGAGGAACCACGGCGCGGGGGTCCAGAGCACACAGGAGTCATGCCTGCTTAACCAGCCGCCAGCTATTACTTCTTACTCCATAATGGTACAAATTAGCCTGCGCCGGACGAAATTTGAATGTCTGTTTTGGGAATCAGTTAAATCTGTTAGAGAGCAGGGATGAGGACTGCATTAAGAGAGCTCGAAAGCCAAATTTATGGTAACGTGTTTGTATGTTGACAGTGGCTGAATTGAATTAGGGAACAATAAGATGTTTTAGAGAGATATTGTGATTGCAATGATATTTTTGACTAAATGTTGAGTATTGAAAACTGTATTAGTTTCAACAAAAGAAACATGGACTTATTGTCTGCAAAGGAGTTCTATTTATATTGCCTGAATAATTGAAATCTTAAAAAAACAGTTCTCTCTGTGTCTTGGTGTGTTTCCTTTTCAACTAAAAAAAAGTAGTAATACCCTAAAAACTTATCTAAACTTATACAAATGTACTACTAATTTCATACTAACAAAGGTCTGGAGTTCCTACCTCGGTAAAAAGCTGATGATCAAACTTTCTTTTAAGTAGCGCAAGTCAAATAAGACAACTGCAAACAGACTAAATTTAAATACGTCGTTGGGGGAATGATCTAAACCTGTTAGCATGGACTAAGAATACACAGAGCGAAAATAACTTTGGGAAAAGGAATAGTCCTAAAGTTTTACCATGTATATGAAGGAAAAAAAATAATCCTGTTTTCCAGAGAATTCTTGCAAAATACCTTACGTTGAAGTGGAACAAACACCGATCGTAGCCAGCAACAAAATGTAAAGTTATACTCTTTAAAATGGCGTGTAAAGTAAACATATCAGAGGGAATTCAAACAGACATTAAGCATTTACATATGCAGAAATAACGGCACGCCAGCAGAAATGCATGCACAGACGCACGGATAAACAGCACTATAATAAGTCCCAGACTGGGCTAACCAAGCTGCGGCTACAGACACAGGCTATTCATATCCAACAGAATGAGAGGTTTCACATTGTCTTCTCTCCTAACACAGGAGGGCCGTGCGTGCATTGTCTAACTTTAAAAGGTGGACTGATCAACCTTAAACTAGGATTGGGTTTTGTTTGCTGTGTCAAAATTAGTTAAACACGAAAAATTACCTCTGCGCTGTTAGCATGCAAGTCCCCCAACACGCTATAGAATACATTACCATTTAGCCATACAGTCCGAACCCCGGCTTGTCATCATTAATATATGGACACAAACTAGAGGGAAAACATTCAAAACCATGGGTCCCACAAAATGCTGCCCCTGTCAGGCATCTCAGGCTTTCCCCAAAGCTCCTAAACTACAAGCGTATACTTTTCTATGTTGATAATCACAGACTAGCCAAGCCCCTAGTAATTAGTTGCCTCTTTTGGGCAATTTACGGTTGTTCAAAGCTGAAAATGTTTGTGTTGCGGATACAATAGAGTGACTGAGTGAAAGGGCAAATGTTAGGGTCAGTGAACGGTTAAAGCATCGTTGGAATCAAGCTAGTCGTCTGATGAGAGTTCCCTGCAGCTAACAGCCTCTTTCTGTCACATTCTTGGGAGCATGCTATCAATTATATATGTTAGTTTGTACACAAGCATATGCCTAATCCATATGGCATACACGTACATTACATTTAGTGCTTCTGTAAAACTACTCTAGAAGGCCATACTCTCATAACTGGAGAA